TTTGCCATATGGCACGTGCACTCACTGGAAAGAGACAGAGAGAGAAAGTGAGAAGTCACTTCCCAGGGTGGATGGCCATGCCACAATCCCTTCTCTTCTATTCTCCTCCTGGGATTTTGGACATGCATACACACGTATGCAGCCTCAGTTTCAAGCTGCCGGATCCGGGACTCAAACTGTGGTTGGCCATGTGGGAGTCCAGCACTTTAATCACCATGCCACATGCTGGCCCTAGATACAGAGTTTTTGATGGTTTTCTTGGCAGCTCATATTGCTTCCGTTTCCTTGGACTGTCTTTCCTTCTGGTTTTGCTTTCTGTCATTCTGGCGATTCCTGACTGGCCATTCCTATTTTGTAGGAGAGCCGCCAAGTCCCCTGAACAGGCAGGACTTGTTGAATGATGGCGTCAGGTGGGCAATTGGATGGAACCCTCATTTGGTTAGTAGTTCTCAAAATGTCAGAATCTTTAAGTCCCCCGGTCTCCCTCCGGACAGTCCAACCTTCATTTATGTTCTCGGAGCTGAGCAGGCAGAGGTCTGAGGGATAGTGCCTTACATTTTTTGTTTTTCCCTGTGAAAGTACTCCTTTTTGCTTTCGCTATGCAGAGACCTCCCAATTCAACCCTTCTATCTTCTGGGGCAGGAGGAACATTCTAGGAGATGGAGGTAGGAGATGGATGTATGGTTTAACTGACTCCTTACAATTCTCCTGTTTTCTGCCCCAGCCTGCATCCTTCAGATCTTCAGATGTACCTCCTGCTTCTGACTTCCTCTTTTTTTTTAAATATTCACATAGGTTATCTAATCCTCAAAGTTCAGATTAAAAAAAAAAAAAGCTGTCTGTTCCAGGTATTTATTTTTCTTTTCATTATAGGAAAGATTTCAAACATAACAAAAGTAGAAAAATAACGATGGCCCTTTTGTGCCTAGAACTTAGCTTTGATAATTATCAACATGTGGCTAAGTGTGGTGTTTTTCCCACAGACATTTCAATTATGGCTATTGGTTATCCTGAACTAACCAGTATGGCTTTCTTCCTAAACCTGCTTAAGTCGATTTTGATAGTTCTATTGCTTTTCTAGTAAAGTCCCCGTTCACTAAGAGCTTCAGTTCCAGAGACAGGCTGAGCTTGCCTCGGTCTCTCCATCTGGGCAGGCATTTAAGCTCTCTGTGCCTCCGTGCCCTCATCTCTACTGTGGGGATAGCCACCCTCCTTATCTTAGGGTTAAGTTCTGAGAAGAGTCAATTAGTCATACGTGCAAACAACTTAATGCCTGGGACGTAATAACGGTAGCTATTATTAGGTTTTAGAATTTATTGCCATAAAGTGTTTTGTTTTTTAATTTTGCCAGAGGGTTTGTGCAGTCATCAGAAAGAGACAAAAAGACAGGGAGAGGGAGAAAGCATCCCTATAAGGATGATCACCTCGCAACTCTTTCTTCTCCATTTCTCCTCCTTTTAGGATTGTGGGCATGCATGCACACATGCCTGACATGTTTTTGAAGTTGCAGGGTCTGGGACTTGAACCTCAAGGTCAGCCAATTGGGATCCAGCTGCCTTAACCACCACACCATGGGCTGGTCCACCATAAAGTTTTTCCCTATAAATTCCCTTGTAATTTTAAAATTCTCGGGAACCAGCAGTTAGCGTAATGGCTATGTTGCTGGACTCCCACGTAGTCGACCGCAGTTCGTGTCCCGAACCCGGTGGCTTAAAACTCACGCCGGGCGCGTGTGCGTGCGTGCCCAAGATCCCGAGAGGAGAATGGAGGAAAAGGGAATGCGGCGTGACCATCCCCCCTGGGGGGTGATTTCTCGCTTTCTGTCTCTATGTCTCTGTCTGTCTGGCGAGCGCACGCGCCCTACAGTGAAAATCTCTCAAAAAAAAAATTCTCTACTGTGTTTGGAGTTATTCCCCTTTTTCATTCTTAATGTTGTTTACTTGGGAATATTCTTTCTTTTTGATTAGTCTTGGATAGTTTGCCTACTTTAATCATCTTTTAAAATAATTGCCTCTTGGATTTAGCTATATCTATGCCTGATATTTTTCTAGTTCACTGTTTTTTTGCTGTTATCTCTTTTTTAATGAGAGAGAAGGAAAGAGTTTTTTTTTTTTTAATCAGTTATTTAATTAGGTTCTTGGCAAAAAATTTAGAACACCAATTTGTGAAGATAAACGCCATTTGTAAGGGCAAGCACGGATCGCAGGTAACCCTGGAGCTGAGGAACAACTTTGATATTTTGTAAAATTTGTGAGTCCACAGCTTTCTGATCAATCTTGTGCTGCTCTGAAATCTCGTATTTCTTCTCTGTGTTGAAAATCTCACCTTCTGGTGTCTGAGCTTCTGCAGATTCTTTTTCTTGAAGTAAGCATCGGTAAAGGTGCTTTGGGATTTTTACTTGCTAATATCAATTTTTATGGAGATGGCAATGACAAATTTCTGGTGTGTTCTACACAGTGGACTTCGATTGAGAACCAGCGGTCCAGTCACAAGTGGCAAGCCACTGCTCAGCTGCTTCAGGAAAACCACTCTCTTGCCTCTGTGGCGTCCAGTGAGGATGATGAGAATGGTCCCAGGAGTGATGCTGGCTCGCAGCTTTCTCACATGCTGACTGAAGGGTTTTTTGCCATGGCTCAACAGCTTTCGAGGCACATCTTCAGTAGGATAATACCTAGGCATTTTGCGCAGTTAACCCGGGTACCACCATTCTTGTCTCCACCTACTGGTTTTGTGACAGTGACAAGAACCTTCTCCTTCTTTTTCTTTTCAATCCTGGATTCATATTATAAAAAACTGCATAGATTTGAAATCTGGATTTAGTGACTGAGTATTTCCTCTTGTACATGGCCTTCCTGGAGTACATGGCAGACCGGGAGTATCTGCTGATGCCCCAGACTAGGACCGGGTTTCGGCTGCAGTGGGGCTTCCCGTTCTTGGGCTTTTTAGCCTTGGGGTCACCCTTTTTAACCTTGCCACTGGCATCGGCCCTCTTGGCTTCAGGTTTCTTCTCCTTAGTATCCTGCTTCACAGCTTTTTCACCTACCATTTTGTATAGTGAGAAAGAATGAGAGAGGCTTTTTAAAGTTTATTTATTGAGACTAACAGAAGAAAGAGACAGGGGCTCATGACGGGCTCACAACAGCGGCCTGCCAAGCTGCAATCCACCCCCTCCTCAAGCTTCCAGCCAGCTAGGATTCATGCATGCCTGCAGGCATGCCCATAGCGCTCTGGCTGCCTGAGGCCTGGGTGTGAGGCAGCACCACCCCCTGTGCCCCAGCAGCTGAGCCGAGGTAGAATTTCTGCTGGCCTTGCCATAGGAACCCTGTGCTTTGCCTTCCAGTTAGTTAGGACTGTAGGTGCCCACACTACTGTGGCCAGCCTGTCCAAGCTGCTCTGGAATTCAAACCAGGCCCTCCCATGGGGACCCAGATTCCTATGATGGAGACCTGCCACATGGCACCTGCCACGTGCCACCATGACTGGGCCTGCTTTTGCCTTTAATATTTACATTTCTTTACTTTCTTTGGGTTTTCACGCTTGTTCTTTTTTTAAAAAATTATTTATTTAATTTTCTTTGTTATTATTATTATTATTATTTAATTTGCTATGGGACACATGTGCTCATGAGAATGAAAGAGAGAAAAAGGGAAAATGAGAAAGCAAGCTTCCAGGTCCGAGACTCAAACCACAGTCGACCTTGGGAGTTCAGTACCTTAACCATCGCACCACCTGCTAACCCCCTTCTTTAGTTGATTGTTTATCATATTTCTTTTCCTCCTCCCCTTTCTCTTTTCTTTCTTTCTTTATTTGCTAGAGGATGTGTACACTTGCCAGAGGAGCAAGAGGGAAGGGGAAGTGAGAAAGCACTCCTTACCCCAAGGCATGACACCCTAATCCCTTCTCCTGTGTTTAACCTCTCCTTTTAGGGTTTCTGAGCATGCACACAGGCCTGGTATGTTTTTCAAGCTCTGGGTCCTAGACTCGACCAACACAGTCAGCCATGTGAGAGCCATCTGCCTTGACTACCATGCCACTGGCTGGCCCTCTCCCTGCTTTTTTCCTTTTTCTCTTCTAAGTATGCTACATCCCAAATATTTCAATACGCAGTCATTGTAAATGTTGAGTTCTAAATATTTAATGTTTTTATTGTGGAGTCCTATTAAATCTATAACTTGAAACGGTTACTTATACATAAAGTAATTACTAATCATGGGTTTAATAGGAAACCACAATGGAAATTTGGCTTATAATATGTAAACTATACATGTACGATAAATTTACTGAAGTTTTCTGTGCGAGTATATGCTTTCTTTGTAAATGTTTCACTAGTACTTGAAAAATTGTTGTGTTCTCTTTTTGTTAGATGATATGTGTGTATATATATGTATATAGTCTTCATAAAATTCATATTATAACAAACTATGCATAGATTTGAAATCTTTTTTTACTAAAATAAACTCATATTTAATTCCTCTGGTTTGGTGGGAAAAAATCTATGACCATTTTAAAAGAATGATTTAATTTATTATTATTATTATTATTTTAAATTTGCTATAGGACATGTGCGTTCAACAGAGAGAGACAAAGAGAAAGAGAGAGAGAGGGAAGGTGAGAAAGCAAGCTGCCAGACCTGGGACTTGTACTGTGGTTGGCCACATAGGAGTCCAATGCCTTAATCACCACATCACCTACTGACCCTCTATAAAGACCTCTCATAATATGTACATAAGAACTCCAAAAAGTTCATTAAAGTATGAGTTTATTTGGGTGCAAAAATTGAATTCATGCGTAGTTTGTTCATAGTACTCATGTCCAGAAACTTTTGAAGACCTTTCATATGTGTGTACATGTGTGTGATAGTCTTTAATTTGTTTACATGACCTTTTACCTTAAGTTTTTTCACCTTTGTTAGTGCCTCTATGACTATCTTTGTTTTATCTTGAAATTCTACCCTTTTTAATGTCTACATTTTGAGGCTGTGTTTATCTTTGACTTTACAGTCATGAAAGTGGAGGAGGAAAAGTCCGGGATAGGAAAGCTGGACCCCACTAACTACAGGAGGAGATGTCCAGATCAGGAAGGTAAGGTCGCTTCGAGACCTTGAGGAAAATTCCAGAAGGGATGGAGAATCCTTGGTCATTTTAAGAACAGCCCTTCCTGCTAGAGAATCTGAAGAGTTGCTCCATTTTCCTGATGTATTCACAGTATCTCCTTGAAACTGGTGAGACCAGCCTTCACTGTGTCCTAAAAGGACCACGTGGTTGGGCTGGGGACAGAAATTGCCACTTTACTCGCATAAATTAGGGCATAGATGGTCCAACATAAAGTTAAACTCCCCTAATTTGACAAGATCTCTAAACCATAATAAAAAACAAATACCAGCATTTCAAAGATTCTGAAAATGGCAGCTCAGTTAAAACTGGTGCAAGAGAGGGTTGAGGGCGGTCTTCCTATTGCTCCAGAATTCCTGACTCAGAGGCTCTACGTCTCCTGCACTCAGCACAGAAACAACTGTAACACTTATGAAGGAAAATGACCAGAAAAAGAAGGAAGCCAAAGAGAAAGGTACCTGGGTTCAACTAAAGCGTCAGCCGGCTCCACCCAGAGACGCACACTCTGTGAGAACCAATGGAAAGGAGCCTGAGCTACTGGAACCTATTCCCTATGAATTCATGGCATGATGGGTGTTAAACTAATCTGTGGTCTATTTAAAAAAAAATCTTCAAATTCATCACTCCCACTCTCATAACAGTAAAGCTAAAAAAGTCAATTTTCTTATAACCATCTAAGAGTTGAGACTACGGGACAAATTCCTACCCTCAAAGACTGGAAAGACAGGAAAATAGAGAATACAGATCAGCCTACCTGAAGCAGAGACCACTTGAGCCAGTAACAAGGTAGGAACACTTACATGATAATTTCAACACATCGTTGGAGGCTCAGTGAGCACAAGCCTCAGGGCCCAGTTCCTCACTGGGTTTTCATGGGTTTTCTCCAATAGCCCTACCTAGTTCTCCGACTGAAGATGCAAAAATGCATCCAGACTTTCCAGCAACCCACTAATGGGATCGTTAGTAGACTGGGCATGGTCAAGAGAAAAATCCGTGATCTTGAAAATGCGTCAATAGAAATTTGACAAAAAATTTGCTGAAAAAGAAAAGGGAAGAAAAGGGACAAAATATCCAAGTCCTGTGGGATAATTACAAAAGGTAAAATGTGAACTGTACACATAATGGGAATACCAGAAGGAGAAAAAAAAGGAAATATTTGAAGTAGTATAGCTGGGAATTTTCCAAAAGTAAAGACAATAAAATGAAATCCCAAATCCAGGAAGCACAGAGAACTCCAAGCAGGAAACTATTCTGGATGACAGTAAGGTAGATGCATGTCATTATGCATTGGTCAACATGCTACAAGAAAATATTTGCAGAAGAGATATAGGATAAAGGGCCTTCACTCCTAAAACATACACAGCATCTATACAACAGAAGAGTGAACCTTAATGTAAACAATAGACTATAGGTAATAATAAAATAACAGTATTGATTCATTAATTGTAATAAATGATCACACTAATGCAAGATGTTAATAATAGGGGAAACTCTTGGTAGGGGTAGGTACATGGAACTCTGTATTATCTGCTCAATTATTCCACAAATCCAAAGCTATACTAAATCTATTAATTATTTTAAAAATTATTGACCAACTCAAGACCACACTGCTGTTAAGTGGTAACAGAACGTCCTTCCTCTGCCCTGAGGGCATTCCAGTTGCCTCTATGCACAGACCTGGTGGGAGCTTAGCCTGTTACTCAGGGATACAGAGCAATTGGGCTTCTTAGTGGAATTCTGAATTAAGGTTCTTGGTAATTTTACTTCTTGAACATTTTGGTTTAGGAAGCCAGCTTTGAGGAATGCTCAGTAACTCACTTTTCTAATAAGTAGGTTTTTGGTTAGTAGTCCACTACTCGTTGGTTGTTAATAAAAATGGGGCTTGCTGGAAACCAGTGCCCATAAAGACCAAAAAAGGGACTTGGCATTTTGGACTACATCTTTTTTTTCTTTCTTTCTTTTTTTTGGAGAGGTTTTTGCTATAGGGTGTGTGCGCTCGCCAGAAAGACGGAGAGACGGAGAGACAGAAAGTGAGAAATCATCCCCCAGGGGGGATGGCCATGCTGCAGTCCCTTCTCCTCCGTTCTCCTCTCAGGATCTTGGGCACGCACGCACACGCCCCCGGCGTGAGTTTAATCCACCAGACCCGAACTGCAGTCCACTACATGGGAGTCCAGTGACATAGCCATTACACCAACTGCTGGTCCCGTACTACACCTGTGACCCACTGAGGGACTCTCTCTGGACCATGTCATAAGCCATATCTTGGAACCAGTGTTCTGAACTACCAAGATTGGGGATATGAGAGTTCTACTTGTTCTGACAGAATTCTAATTATAGCACCAAGAGTATCTCTTCCAGCAGCTGTTGAATTGGTTCAGAAATAGAATTCTGTCTAACCCAAGCCTGGGGGCAGCCGCCCCACCCCGGTACCCCATGTCTTCCATTTCCCTCTGCGACCCCCATCTCTTGGTAAGTGGCAAATGTAATGGAGAGGTGCTCATTTTCAATAACAGCCTCCCTTGCCCGTCTCTTGTGCTATGCCTACAGACTGCACTTCTATCCACATTGGGCTTCCAGTCCCCAGTTACGCTCAAAGAAAAGGTGATCAGAAAGGACATCTTTCAGGCCTGCAAAAAGTCCACTGGGGCCTGCGACCTGACAAGCCACAGCAGGAACTGACTGGCCCAGAGAGTGGGGCGATTGGCCGGGAAGGCAGTGTGGACCTCATCAACAGGACCCGTGAGTTCCTTGTTGGGGGTGCGTTCTGGGGAGACATCCTGCTGGGGTTCTCATAGGGCCGGCACCACCACACCTGCCTGCTGGGGTTCTCTGGAGCATGTGGGGAATGCCCCGTGGCCCAGCCTTGCCTCTCGGGCCCCTTCTATTCTTCCATCACCCACCAGCCTTCCTGCGTGGTGACCCTTGTGTTCAGGCTAAAGCCCTCTGTCTCTCTGGTGACTTGAGGACCTACACTCTGATCCATTCTGTGTCGATTTTGTGGTTTGATGCTCAGAATTATTTCCCTCATTTCCAAGTTCCTAGGGGCCACGCCCCGTTGCCCTAAGAACCAGTGACAGACACAGCAATCTGGCAAAGGCATTGTGCTCCAGGAACCAGGTTCCTTGTTACATCACCTCCACCCTCTCTCCTCATGGGTCTAAGGGAATGGTGCAGAATTGTCTAGGCACACTGAATCATAGCTAGGAACCTTTTCCCCAGGACTGGGAAGGCCCTGAGGCCTCCTTTGCTCTTGCAAAAGTCAGTGCTGGGCTAATAAAAATCAGTCCTGAGCCAGCCCGAGGCATTGTGGTTATGGAGGCTGCATCCCACATGGCTATGTGATCCGAGTCCCAGATCTGGAGGCTCGAGAGACACACCAGGGCACGTGTGCATGCATGCCTGAAATCCCCAAAGGAGGTTAAAGTGGAGAAGGGAGTATGGCATGACCTTCCCCCAGGGGGCGGAGGAAGGTGCTTTCTCACTTTCCCTCTCTGTCTCTCTCTTCATGAGCACACATGTCCTATGGGGGGTAAATCCCCTTCCTGAGGAAGGAAGCTGCAGCTGGGCCTGAGCACCAGGTGGCCTGTGCAGATAAAGGGTAGAGAGGAGACCCCTGCAGTTCCCACCTTCTTTTACTTTCCAGGTATTGACAACTCTGGGGTCACTAGAAGATCAAAACCACCCCAAGATGAGCCGTAAAGGAGGCAAAGGTGATTTTCTTTCCAGACACGGTTCAGCGCCTCACATGGTTCCAAGGCCTTGGGATCAGAGATGTGTTTCATGTGGTCCTTCTTTTCCTATTGCTGATGAGGAAGGAGCTGGGATTGATATGCAAAGCATTTCTTCCACTATAAGGAGGCAGACTGTCTCAAACATGGGGGGCAGAAACAATTGGCTTTCTCTTAAAACTTTGCAGCTTTAAAATGGGGACTGGGAGGCTTCCTCACCTTTGTCTACTAAACCATTTGGATCATGGAGGGAATGATGAGAGGGGAGATGAGAGAGAGAAGGGAGGAAGGAAAGGGGGAAGGGATTGGGACCATTCCAGACCTTTTCTGCATCATCATCCCCAGGCAGGGGAGGACAGGAGGGTAATTTAACATTTCCCAGAGGAAGTCTGTATTCATTCTTTTCTTCTTGCTTTTTGACACCTCAAAATCTGGATCTCCTGGAATGATCAACCTACACAGCATTTCCTCTCCGGCCAAGATGGCTGTTCTCCTTAAAAACAAAAACTAAACACAAACAAACAAAAATCCTATCAGAGGGACCAGCAGTTGGTATAATGGCTATGTCGCTGGACTCCCATGTAGTCGACCACGGTTCGTGTCCTGGACCCGGTGGCTTAAACTCACACCAGGTGCATGTGCGTGCGTGCCCAAGATCCTGAGAGGAGAATGGAGGAGAAGGGATTGCGGCGTGGCCATCCCCCCTGGGGGGTGATTTCTCACTTTCTGTCTCTGTCTCTCTCTGTCTTTCTGGCGAGTGCATATGCCCTATAGCAAAAAACTCTCAAAAAAAAAAAAAATTCTATCAGAAGAGAGTCCTGAATTAGTGACCTTAAGGGGAAATTTGAGTTGAGAGCCCACGTTTGCAAGTAAACTAAGGATAGTCTAGATTCCACTTCCCACCAATAGGAATTAGGCTCCCAATGCCCCTTTGGTGTAGAAGGAACAGCTTTCTATTTTGGTGTTAAGTGATAATTTATCCACTGTACTGCATTTATATTTACTAAGACAAAACAAGGAGATCAGCATGAGAAGTGAGGATTCTGGGTGACGTTTGTACGTCATCAATCATGGATAATGGATGTGGTACAGTTCATTGCCTTTTACCATCTGGGCTGTCCCGACATGTAAGACTCTCCTCCCCAGAGCTCCAGTGAAACGGGCCTCATCATCGTTCTCCCTGGGGAGTCTGCCACGATGCTGGGGCCTTTCTGATCTCATCTGAGCTTGTCCTCCCCAGGCCAGGCGAAGCAGAGAGGAGTGGGGGACTCAGAGAAGAAGGCCCAGGGATCTCTTATTTGAATTTCTCAACCAGTTTTGGCCAAGTCTCAGCACTCCCAGCAACACACTGAGGTTTCTCCAGCCTTAGTTCCACCCACAGGCACTTTTGGGGCACCAGCCATGTACTTGCCAGGTTCTGCCACGTGTCCAACACACTCTTCCTGGTCCCACCAACTGTGGTCAGGGACAGGGGTCATGTGTCACACAAACACAGCTTCCAGAGGGTCATCCTTGTGGGGTGGGGACGGGAACTGGGTAGACATCCCAGGAGGGCTTCCATATACACAGCATGTGGGCAGTCTCCCCTCTTCCTCTCTGAGAGAACACCTTTGGAGTTATGTATAGCATTCTAGAAAAAGAGCTTTACTGCCCATGAAATTAGGACTTGAGCCTCCAAGTCCTGTCCTGCAAGAATGACTTTGTGCGCCAAGTCTTGTCTCCCATTCCCCAGTGCTCCGTGACTTGAGGGACTCAAAGCACCCTTCCCCCGTGCACTGCACTCCACCCCCAAGTCCATTTCCCCAGTCTTGGCTCCTTCCGAGCTAAGGTTAATCCCAGCTGATGATCCTGAGTCCCACACATTCCCCCAGCACGTATTGAGTGCCCGTGCTGTGCAAGCCCCCTGCTGGAACCAGCAGTGCCGTGTGGACGAGACGGACCCTGACCTCACAGAGCTCACCACCTTACATTCTGTGTGAGCCTCACCCTCTGAGTGAGCTCCCTGACGCTTGTCCCTGCCGAGGTCATTTCTCCAGCCAGTGTGGGTTGAATCCAGTCCTGCAGCGGGCCGCCATTGGGTGACTTCTCAGCTGTGGAACAGAGGGGCCGCTACCCGTGTGTTTCTCATCGCGTGGAGTAAATCCTGACATGCTGCATGCGTGTGGGACCCGCCGTGTGTTAGGGAAACCCTGATCCAGTGGCCTAGTGTGTGATGAGCTAAACCAATGTGGGCAGGAAAGAGGACAGAGAGAGGAAAGGGGGTCTGGAGCGGAGGGAATCCAGGAGGCCTTGGAGGGAACATGGGGGTTTATAAACGTAAAAGGACAGAGCCCCGGGCCTGTTCCGAGAGAGGCTGCTTGCCATGAACGAGGGAGTAAGCCTCACATCCGGCGGCAGTGACGAGAGCGGTGTCCCTGCCTGCCTGCTATGCCAGCACACTGTGTCGTCTCATTTAATCCCCCATCCACTGAGGTAAGTGCGTTTATTCCCACTTCATAGACGAGGAGACTAAGGCTCGGGGAGCTTAATGCCTTGCCAAGACCCTACTGCCAGTAATTAGCAGGCAGGAGTTCCATCAGTAGAGGGAACCTTTCTGGCATCCTTGGCCATCTTTCTTGGGCATCAAGGTCACCCACCATGCCTGGCTCGGCATGGCCTGCAGCGGCTGCTCACCTCAGCCACGGTGCCTGAGCTGCGGCACAAGCTGTAAAGCCTGGGATCTTCAAATGGGCCCAGCCGCTTGCTGCCGGCCTTGCCCCTCCCACCAAAGCAGGAACTTGAGGTTTTTGCTATAGGGCGCTTGTGCTTGCCAGAAAGACAGAGAGAGACAGAGAGACAGAAAGTGAGAAATTACCCCCCCCCAGGTGGGGATGGCCATGCCGCAATCCCTTCTCCTTCATTATCCTCTCAGGATCTTGGGCACGCACACACACACACGCCTAACATGAGTTTAAGCCACCAGGTCCAGGACTCGAACCGTGGTCGACTACATGGGAGTCCAGCGACATAGCCTTAACACCAACTGCTGGTCTCTGAGGGATGTTCTTTGTAGGGGTCTACGTGATGGTGTGTTCTGGGAGCCAAGCACATGACCCTAATCCTCTGCCTCTATTTTTCTCTGTTTTAAAATGGGCATACATGGCCCTGGAGCCTTGGGAATAAAAATGTGGTCAATGGAGCTGACCAATGGGGCAGGGAGGGGTAGAGGGTGTCAGGAGATGTCAGCTTTCTCCACTCTGCTACCCTGGGCTGAGACGGGGGAGGGAGACTCCTATGGCATAAACTGGTCTCAGCTGGATTTGACCATCACTAGCTCCCTGCTCTCAGACTAGGGAATTCAAGGTTTGTAGCTCCTTGGAGCGAGGGCTACCCGTGACCTCTAATCAACCTTGGCACAGTCTAAGTACTCAGTAAGCACTTGTTGAACCAAACCCAGGAGATTAGGAGTCTTTCAGAAGAGCAAAACAAGTCCCCAGTGGGGCTCACCACACACCCTGCAGTGACCAGCTCCCACTGTCTGTGAGTTCCCAGAAAACACCCCTGAGGGACGAGCTTGGGCTTAGAGGTGGATGAACAGGAAGATCAGGAGTTTGGTTTTAATTGGGGAAGGAGAGAAACCAGCTGCGTGGAACATTATTGACCAAGCACTGCTTGCTGTGAAATGTGAGACCCCACAGCAAACACCCCACCCCCAACACACACACACACACACACACACACACACACACACACACACAGTTCCACCCACACTCCCCAGGCCGAGAGAACTTGGCACCCCTGGGCCAAGCTCTTAAGGAGGCCCTGGGGAGTCTGGCAAAGCCTTACTCTGCCTTTATAAAAGGGCCAGAGGGGAACTGCTCCGGCTCTCCTCAAGCCCCCAAGGCTCCTGGGGGCGGGGACACGGGATACATTGGCCAGTCCTCCAACAGGGCCTCAGCTGTGGAGGCCCCTGCTGCTCTGAGACCCTGGAGACCCAGAGACCTGCCTCCTGCATGAGGCTCTACTGTGGCCACTGTGTCCTGCGCTCCCCAGCGCACCTGAGATCTCCTCTCTCTCTCTCTCTCACACACACACACACACACACACACACACACTCACACAATCTCACACCTGCAGTGTCTTTAATTCATTCTCAGTATAGTTTTCCTCTTCCATGCATAATTTTGCATAGTCTCTCTCCACGCTCACCACGTCTCTGTTCTCTGCACACAGCCCTTTCTCTCCACCTCCTGGTCTTACACACATTCCTTCTCTCCCTCCCCCTCCCTCTCCCTCTCTCCCTCTTCTCCCCTTCCCTGGTGCTTAACTGGAAACAAAAGTGAGTTTGTTGTGTGGGAAGAGGACGAGTGGAGGCAGCGGAAGAACCAGGCTGGGGCCAGAGGCAGCATTGGCAGCCGGAGAACCCAGTGCTCAGCTATTCCGGGGAGCAGGTAATGGCCCAGGTGGGGCTGGTGCAGGATCCTCTTCCCTGAAATGTCTCATGGCTCCCTGATGGTTCCATCTATCTGCCTTCTTACCTGGCCTTAAAGGGGGAGAGGACCCCAGGATTTCAGAGCAATCGGCACAGACTGGCATGGCCTCCTCTTCAGAGAGTTGTGTGTGGTCTTATTGGCTGGGGTGGGGGACAGCTGGGGTCTGAGGGGATGGGACATGCCAGAACCTGGGAAGGCAGGTGAGGACCAGATCACAAGGGTTGTTTGAGTCATGTCACCCCCCCGCCCCTGGGTCTTAGACAATAGAGAGCCATTGAAGGTTTTTAATCTAGAGTGGAATATGAGCAAATCTACATTTTAAGGGAGTAATTATTGAACTCTGATCCCATGAAGGATTGGTGTGGTCCCTCAGAATTGAGCAGTCATTTGAAGAAAGGCAAGGTTATTTTCTCAATTGTCCTCAATCATTGGTTTTTTAAAACGATTGGTTTGTAAAATTTTCTTAAACCTTTGGTGTCCCCTGGCAAATGTCAGTAATCAATAAGCCAATAAAAAGGATATAATTTTAAAGTAGTGAAAAAAATCCAGAAACAGAATCCACTTTATCATCATTTATTGGGTTGTTGGAAAAGTCATGATGCATTTTTGCATAGAGAAACAGAAAAAAATAGGTCATGACTTTTCTAACAACTCTTTAAGTGACATTCTATTTAAATGATGCCCATTGGGCCACATAGAGACACATTAATAATATTTTCAGCTAGTAAAGTTATTTCTAACTCATGTGCACAGTATTTTGTAGTGCTGTCCAAAGAGCACTATGACTCCCAGGAGCCCACCACATTACCATGTTTAAAGTGGTTTAGAAACAAATTCTGGGGGCCAGCAGGTGGTGTGCTTTCTCACTTTTCCTCTCTCTCTCACTTTCTCTCTGGTCAAATAAAAATAAATAATCAATACAATTAAATAAAAAAGAATAATTCTTAAAAAAAAAAAAAACAAAATTCTGTTCTACACGGAGAATGGGATGAGTGGGCCAACCAGAGGCAGAAGGAGTGGTAGGTAGCTATTTTAGTGACAGGCATGGAAGTCCCAGAGAACCTAAACCAAGATGGAGGCAGCGGGGCTAGGGAGAAGGGAAGGAGCTAAACACTGTTTAGGGAGCAAATGAAAGAAGTTAGTATCCAATTGGACATGGATGATGAGAGAAACGGAGGCTTCAGGAGGGAGTCTAACATACCTTGTCTAGATGAGTAACTAGGGGTGCTATTAATCAAAACAGGGGAGAGAAAAGCTGAGTGTTGGAATGAGGATTGCAGAGCTGTTCTGAATATGTTGGCATTGACTTGAGGAGGCTGCAGAATACCCAGATGGAGCAGTCCAGTTGGTAGTTAGAATACTCAGTACAGGCAAGGCCTGGAGACATGGGTGACCTCATTTATAGGGTGACACCACACAAAGAACATGAGCTATCCCAGGAAGAGTGTGGGAAAAGAGGAGAGAAGACTGAAGATGAGTCCTGGGAATGACCAAGATTTAAGTGTTATCCAGCCAGAGGAGCTAGAAAAGAATATTGAGGAGGAATCTTCAATGAGATGGGAAAATATTGAGAAAAATGCCCTGTTCTGAAAGCCAAGGGTAACATTTCAGTTCAGAAGAAGCAGCCCCACCACTGATGTCTCAGAGAGATGAGCCAGACCATACCTTCACAGTGCTGTTGATTTGACTGATTTTATTAACTTACTGGATTAGACAGTAAGAGAACAAGAGGGATCTGAGGGCAGGGGTTGTATATTCAGGATACCATATGAAACCTTACAATTCTTTACTTTAGTAATAATTTCAGAAAGTTTTATATGCTAAGAGGGCTGGATTAAACACATCATGAGCAGCCAATTTGAAGTCTCTGCCTTACTCAATGACCTTATCATGGTGGGCACTAAACCAGTTGCATGATGCTGGGATGTGACTAGGCAAAGAAGTAGTGGAGACAATGTGTATAGAGCCTCCTTTAGGAAGCTGAGGGCAAAGGAAGGGAAAAGGAGCACTTGGGAGAGAGTCAGAGGAGGGTATTTTGTGATAGGAAGAGCTATTTTTAGACTAAAAGCAGGTGGAGAGAGAGAGAGAGGAGTGGAAGATCTAGTTAAGGAAATACTAGTAGGTAAAATAAGGCTCTGAAATAGGCAGGATGAGTGGGACCAGGAAGACCTCCTTTTGTTCAAAGATGGAGGCAATAGTATTCATGACATAGAAGGAATAGAAGAGAAGAAGTTGTCGGATTTCATACCTGGATGCCTTTTTTTTTTCTTGGTGAAGTCCGGTAGGAGATGGCCCAAGAATCTTGAAGAAAGGTGCAAAGATTAGGAATGGCATTGAGGGACACAGGGAAAGGCAGTGACAGGAATGAGTGGAAGGTTGCTGTACCTGAGACCTATTGAGAGTAGAAATCCTCCACTTGCACAGCTGGATGGTTTTCTACAGCAGGGCTCATGACCCTGGGTGCTGGGGTTGGTGGTGAGGGGAGATAAGCACCAATTACCTTCCAAGCCCTATGTCAGGAGTTTTATTCTTTTACTTCATTTATTCCTCCCAACAACCCTATTTACTCAGATTGAGTTCACTCATACAGATAAGTGGCAATTTTGGGATTCACATCCATGGCCAATAGGATTGGAAGTCCATTGTATGCCTTGACTCCACTGTACCACCACACCACACTGTCTCCCCATGGAATCCTTGGACACACCTGCAGAGATAAAGACTGGGCCAATTAATTCTAGTTTGAGTATTGAGAAGTCAAGGAAAGAGAGAGTGGAGAGTGATATAAAAGAGTGGTTGAAATTATAGACCATGGGTGGTCCTTGGAGAAGAAGGGAATGAAAAACTGAGGAAGGAGAGAAGAGGAAGAGGAAGGTGTGATGAAGCCCAGGAGGTGGTTGATAAGGGCAGGGCTATGGGGTTGGTGAGGAGGAAATATATTCTTGAAAACATTCAATATGGAGGTGGAGGCAAGGGACAGAGAGGTGAGGTAAGGATGACCAGCCCGTGCAGTAGAATGGACAGCGATGCCCTTAGCCAAAGTGTTGGTCCCTACCTTGACATCCTACCATCCCTCTTGCTCCCTGGTGACCATGGTCCAGCCACACAGACCAGCACATTCCCACCTCGGGGTGTCTGAGTCCCTCAGAGCACTCCACCTCCAGGAGCACAGAAAGGGCTTGCCTTCATCTCCCCAGTTGCAATTATTGGGTTGTTGGGAAAGTCATGATGCAGTCTTGCATAGAAAAACAAAACTATGTCATGACTTTCCTGACGACCTAATAGAATGCCCCTTCTTTTCTCAGAGAAGACTTTGGTGAGCCTGATCTCTACCATAGCTCACTGGTCACTTTGTTTTTCTCAGGGTTCTTGCCAGTACCTGAAATAGATGATAGATTCATTATCTGGCTGTTGTCTGTCTCTGCCACCAGAGCATATCTTCAACAGAGCAAGGTTACATGGGCCTCCCCACCGCCGTATTCTCAACACCTAGAACAATGCCTGGCATATCATTAAATACTGAGCAGGTGGAGGAGAGTGAACTTGGGAGGAGCATGTTGGGAAAAGGTACAGATCAGTGATGGAATGTTGCGTTCTGAGGTTCCTGAGAGACACCCAGGAGGCAACTTCCTCTGGGCAGTTGGTGTGCAGGCTGCAAACCCAGGGAACCAGCTGTCTCCTTGCCCATGAGGAAGGTGTGCCCACGTGGCACACTGGTGCAGTCACATCACATTGCATGGCTGACTGCCTCGTCAAGGACAGTGTTGAGAGCCGACTGGTTAGGGGCCCACTGGGGGAAAGGCTCTCTCTGGGTTTGTTATGCCGAGGCTGGGTCGGAGTGGTTCCCACTTCACTTTTCTATTCTGTTCCTGGTTCTTGCTGCTGCCGTGGCTTCGGCTATTTTCCATCCTTCTTCATTGTCAAATACAAGACTTTGGATCTGAATGTAAACTAAATCCTTTCATCTCTTTTATCTCAAAGGATTTCTTGCTCACATTCAACTCATAGTAAAGAGACTCTAGCCTCACCCAGAGCTGGACTTCGTTTTACTGAATTAGCAAGTACTTCTCCCTGTCACTTGGTTCCTGCTGCATTTTTTTTGTTGGCCTTATGGCCCTCCTATTTGCATGGGGATACTCAGCAGACCCTACCACCCTCCTTTTGCAGGATCTCCAGCTGCTGAGCAGCTCCAGGACATCCTGGGGGAGGAAGATGAGGCTCCCAACCCCACCCTCTTCACAGAGATGGACACTCTGCAGCATGATGGAGACCAGATGGAATGGAAGGAGTCAGCCAGGTGAGGGGAGCCCCAGGAGGGAGGCAGAGGGAGGCTTCCCACACTGTCCTCCCAGGGCCCAGGCTAGACTGGTTCTCCTCATGGGTCTTTGCTCCATGAGTTCATCCAGGGACCTTGAATCCACAAAGACCCTCCCACCTGCCTTCTTTGGTGTCCAGAACTGGAGTGGACTCTCAGGAGTGAACAGAAACTCTGGCTTTGTCCTTATCCTCAAGGAAAGGAAAGTCCAGGTGGAAAGACAGGACGGTCACCCACAGTTCCCTGTGAGAATAATACAACGGCTTCAATGGTTCAAACTAAACAAAGGAAAAGTACCAAGCTGCCTGTGGTAGACCGGGAGGGCTTTGTGGGGAAGGAGAGTGTGTGTCCGACACACTGAGTTTGAGTGGTGGGAGAAATCCAGATAGAGACCCAGTGGGCCCCTGGAGAAAAAGGACATAGCAGAGTTTGGGGCTGGACAAGCAGAGTTGGGGCCATGGTGGAAGGTGTGAGGAGCAGGGAAAGCTCAGTGTATAGGGACGGAGGGAGTAGAAGAGCTGGTGCTGGAGGAGAACCGCATGGCGAAGTCACAGGAGCCAAGGAAAGGGCAGGGTAAGGAGTGGTTGGGGCTGCTCGTATCCCATGTCTGGGACAGGGTGGCCCCTGGGTCAGTCAGCAGCACCAAGGGCTTCAAAGAGCCCAAGCAGAAGAAGGCTGTGGTAAGAGGCTGCAGAAAGGATCCTGAGAAGGACATTGAACGAGGCTGGAAGACAGACTATGCCAATGTTTCTCAGTCTTTTTCATATTATGCTATTTCCCTCCTGGGGGAAAAACACACACACACACACATTTAATTTGATTTGAAATTGAAATTTAAGTTCTTTCTCATAAGAAAAGTTAGATACTAAAGAATGAAACTTGTCAGGTAGAGGTGAGCTTTGGAATGCCACAAACCGTCGGAGCATCTAAAAGTTTTCATTCCTCCAAGAGCCAGGTCTTGCCTCCTTGGGAGCAAAAGTGCTGCAGCTGAGACTGCGCAGACCGACTCCTCCTAGTTGTGTCCACGACTGGCTCTGCCTGGGGGCCACTGCGACAGCCAGAGCCTGACAGGTGCCTGGCCCATCCACAGCCAGCGTTCTCTCCCCAGCCTCATTATGCTGGGCAGTTGCTGTGTGGAATAAGGGGCAGGTTTCAAAGCCCTAGGCTCACCCCCTCTCTCCTGCAGGGTCATCCAGAAGAAAGAGCACCGAGTGCACTTGCAAACCCTGCAGGCCACGGGGAGGAATGACTCTCCAGCTCCACAGCTGGGCCCGCTCCCCCCCGGGGAAGCCACTGAGTCTCTTCTATTCGCTCCTCATTGAACCCTTACTTTGCACAATGTTTCACAGGCTCACCTCACTGAAGACGCACGGTGACCCCAAGGAGCAGGAACTGTTATTGTCCCATTTTATAGAAAGAACTCGTGTGGGGGGAACCAGCAGTTAGCGTAATGGCTATGTCGCTGGACTCCCATGTAACCAACCATGGTTCAAGTCCTGGACCCGGTGGCTTAAACTCATGCTGGGCACGTGTGCGTGCGTGCCCAAGATCCCAAGAGGAGAATGGAAGAGAAGGGATTGCAGTATGGCCATCCCCCCTAGGGGGAGATTTCTCGCTTTCTGTCTCTCTGTCTCTCTCTGTCTTTCTGGCGAACACACGCGCCCTATAGCAAAATCCTCTCCAAAAAAGAAAGAAAGAAAAGAACTCGTGTGTAAAGGTGGAAATAGCTGTCCAAGGGTCAGGGCTCGCAGGTATCTAAATCTGGAATCCAACCCAGGCCTCTGACTCTCACCTTGAAGGCTTTTGTACTTGGTCATTCTTTCTGCCTCTTAGCTACCTCTCAAATATCCAGAGATTCTGCTTTGACTTCCAGGGAAGACATTTATCCAGGGCTGACAAGATTGGGGAGGAATTTCAAATGCCTGGAGTCTAGCCTGAGCTCCAGCTTAATACCTCTAAGGTTCTGGAGTCCAAAGCAAGGGCCTCTCTGCCCAAGGTGGGCAAACAGAGAGGAGGGAAGTTGGGATGGATCCCTTCTCCCAACCATGGCAGGGTCTGTACTCAGAAACCCTAGCAATAATCACTAGGACTAGGCCCACCATGGAGACATAGCACACACCCATGGAGCCTTTGCCGAGGAGGCCTCCGGGCCCTCGGAGACCTGAGGTGACCACAGACAAAACACGCCTTGTTCCATCCTGTCCGAGTGGGCCCTTGGAGCCTCCACACCTAGGCCCAGTGACGAAGCCGATCAACTACAGATGTGGCTATTTCTAGAAGACTCCTAAAATATAAAGGAGTCTGGTCATTATCTCCTACGAGGTGGTGGGTTTCCCTGAGGGCAGGCTTTCTGAGGACAGCACCTGAGAAGACCCTGAAAGAGCCTCATCATAACCTGACTCACATCAGCATGAAGGGAGAATGGGACTGAAAGTTACCATGGCAAAATCCAACTTTAGGTCCATCCCAAAGAGGAGCAGCTTTAGGGCCATGGATCAAGAAGCTGGGGTAGGGGGGGAGATGGTCTCTCCACCTTGAGTCCCCTTTCTCTGCTCCTGCCCCATCTTTCTTTCATCTTCCCTCCAGCCAACCAATCAGTTTTGCGCTGATGGTTCAAGGTATGATCAGCGTGAAGCAAGAAGCCTACCATGGGGGCTGGCCCTATGGTTAAGGGAGACAGATCCCAGTGGCCAGCTACACTGTTGGTGGTCCCAGCTCCAACCTGGCAACTTGAAAAACATGCTGGGCATGTGTGTATGTGTGTCCAAAATCCTATCAGGACAGAGCAGCGGAGGAGGGATTGGGCATGACCACGCCCCATGGGGAGGGTGATTTCTCCCCTTCTCTCTTTCTGGTGAGTACATGCACCCTCTGGCAAAACAAAACAAAACAAAAAACCCACCTTGGCCTGGACAGTTTTACTGAGTCCTCCCCTAGGAAAGCTACAAGAGCAGAAGTGTTTGGGTCAGGCATGATTGAGGCCTCTCACCCCCACAAAAGAATGGGAAGCATTTTCCTCAGCTGACAGGCTGTTCCCACTCAGGAAAGCCAGAGATCTTAGAAGTTTCCAGAATGTAGGACACCAGTAAATCCCAGTGTGCTCTGAGTCTCCTCAGATAACAGGACAAAATGGTGGGGAGTGGGGAGCAACCCCTTCTAAGGACACTCAGGCCCCCGGAGGGTACAGGTCCCATACCCACATCAAAGAGATGAGGGGAGGGGACCCTTTAATAAAAGTATTTAATTTGCTGCAGGGAGCGTTAGCTTTATTGAGTTAAGAGATTAACAGAGTGAAAATCTCAAATCCGCAAGGAATTTTCCCTGGGCAGTGCTTTGTCGGGGTTATTAGCTTGGGGGATGTTTCAAGTCCTTGGAGGAGTCACTCCTGGAAGGATTTAAAAGACTTTCTGAGCTCCGCTGAGCCTTGCCCCGTGCACATAATGGGGACTGTGTGTGGCGTCACTTCTAATGTGATCAATGCTGGTAGGTCAGGCTGTTAATAAGATAGATTTTTATTAACTCTGTCTCTTTAGCATTCCCATGAGGGAACTGTAGCGGGCTATTTGCTGAGAATGACCTTGCCTGAAGGGAGGGTTGGCTGGGGGTGGGGTGGGGAGTGGGACAGGGAGAATGGAGGGGGGCCTCACTATGACTGAACAATTTACCCAGAATTCTATCCTCTCTCGTGCCCACCGCTGCCTGACTGCAAAGAGACACGTGGGGAGGAGAATGACCTGGGTTGAAGCCCACTCAAATGTGGAGGGCCCTTTGAGGTTACTCAAAAATGACCAGAGCTTAGTGTTTTCCATGAGCTCTGAGAGCAAATTCCAAACCCAAGCTGCCTCTGAGCTCAACTCAGAGCAGACCAGAAATGCAATCTTGCCAGAAGGTTCTTAGGAGACACGTATGCTCTGAGAACATTCCTGTGATGACCAGCAAGGGGCGGAAAGGGCAGCGGAGAAGTGGGTCGGCTCGTTGGGTCACACAAGATCAGCACATGTTCAAAAGCCCGGAATGGTTCTCTGCATGTAGGTGAGGGTACTCTGCAGGGTCGAGGAGAGAGCCTGAACTGTCTGGTTCATCCCTGAAATCGCTCCCACTTAGGATCTTGCATAAGTTCTAGAAGCAGCCTGGGAGGGCAGCTGCCATTGTTTGTATTCAGGAGGAAGCTGAGAGCTCCCCACGCAGAAGTCAGCCAACCTCATTCATCCACTGGACTAATATTTACTAAGAGCTTACTGTCTGCAAGCCCGAGCCAGGTGCAAGAGATCCAAACATGGAACAGGACAGATGCTGTCTCTGCTCACTTTGACTCTCAGCCGAACGGATTACAGAGGGAAATAAGCAGGCATTTGCTGATGGGGGTGCCATGAATGCACAGCATAGGGACATCTAACCCAGACAGGAAGCATCAGGGAAGACTTCCAGGAGGAAGAGTATTTATTTTGAGACCTGATCAATGGGGCAGAGTGAGCCCAGAGAGGGAAGTGGGAAGGCCCCTGGAAGGGAGCAAATAGACACCCAGAGAAACAGGCAGAAGTTCCTGTGGCTGGACCAGAGGGTGATGAGCAGGGAAGGGGAGGGGCCCATCCTGCAGGTCCTGTACTGCCCAGGTCACAGAGTTTGAACTTGCCACTGAGGACTCCGGAGGACTGTGAAGGGTTTCGAGTGAGAAGAGACAGAGGTGTGTGTGTGTGTTTAAGAGACATCATCTGGCTTTGGTGTGGAGAGTGGCTTAACAGAGGCAAGACTTGGTCAGTTAGGGGGCCAGGCCCAGGGGAGAGGTCATGGAACCCTGAGTCAAAATGTTGGCAGTGGGGATTGAGAGAAGAGGTAGATTGGAGACATAACGTACAAGGTAAAACTTTCAACTGGATGACAGATGGCATGTGGAGGAGAAAGATGGACAGGGAGGTGCCTGGGTTTCCAGCCTAAGCGAGTGGGTTCCTCACGGGGCAGTTTGGGAAACACAGGAGTGGTAG